AGGGATGATCCGAAGGATGGGAGAGTGTGGTGGTAAGGAAGGATCCAACCACAAATGGAATGGGAAAAACAAAACTATTCTGAACCTGGGGTCTTGGGGATGAGCATTACCACTAGATACTCATAGCCCAAGGTTAATTCAGGAGAAGGGAGTTTACTCTTCAACTTGAAGGCTAAGCACAATTTGGTTCAATTGCTGCTCCTGAAACTTGAACCATCCGGTTTTCAGCATCATCAGCTCTGAGCCCATTGGAATTTGTAGAACATCAAAGTGAGGGCCCAGGCAGCTGCTGCTACCATGGCGTCTAAGAAATTCCTCAAGACACTGCCAAGCTCACAGAGAGGGAGAGGGTTACCTGCCTGAGCAAATTTCAGTGGTGCTGCAACTATTTAATTTTGAGGAAAGATTCCTGCTGTTTGCATATTGATAGAAATGCATCCATGTTCCAGAAACTCATTTTTCCTGGTTTGTTTGTTAAACCCAAAAAGTGGTGAACAGAACCAATCGCTTTTCAGATCCCATCTGCTCATGAGTTGGGTAGGCTGCACTTCACCTTCACTTGGGGGCCCAACCTATGAACCTCATCTTAGTCAGCAGATGGACAACTGTCTCCTGAGATCACAGGATAGCACTGTATATGATGCTTAGATCACTATGTTTTAAAAGTGGAAAATGGAAAAGCAAGTGCTAACCTTAATGATAAGAAGTGTGGGTTCACAATACATATAGTGCAAGTGGGAAAAAGGTGCACCGTTGGCATGGCCAAGGGATCAGCCTACAGGCACTCACTTTTCGTACTAAATTGTGTGTGTTTTTAATTGTGAAGGAAAGTAAAATTGTTGAGCATGCATGCAAAGCTGGAAATATATATTTTAATATTATGCCTAAAAGGCAAATTGTAATGAAAGATTTTGGACTGTTTCATATCTTCTGGGAATGAAACCCCCAGCCCCAACTCCCTGTGCCCCTCATAACAGCTAAGTCCATTGTAACTTGTAGTAATTGGGTTTTTATTAAAATAAGAGACTGCAGTATAATTTTAGCGACTAAGCTAAATAGGCATTAACAAGCTCTGGGATCCAACCGCAATTTGTAACATCGTCCCTTTGGGAAAATGGATTCTAAGTGCCCAATAACTAACTTACAAATAGACTTTTGAATCATAGTCCATTTGAGAATAAGGAACTGTTTGTGATAGTAATACCTTCAATTGGCCTGCTTGAGAACTACACAGAAGGGACCTATATTCTGCCACACGTGTGTGGTGAACCCAGCTAGTCTGGGTTTGATCAAAGATTATTGCTGAGTGGGCATTGAAAGCATGGGAATTAAAACCAAAGTAGAGACTGGAGACAAGGCATTAGAAGGATGGGTCTGGAGAAGTTTTAGCAGTAGGAAAGGTTTTCAATTTCAAAGACAAAGGTGTAATTCTGAGCAGCTAAAGAGAGGGGAGAACAAATGGAAAATAGGTGAGAGGGGAGATTAGGAGCAGGAAAAGTTAAAAAAAAAAAAAAACCCAACCCAGGAGACAAGGAGTAAGAAAGACCAAGAGCCAAATATCTTTAATGAAATTGTAATGCAAAGTGTACCAGGAGGTCGAATACCTGCCTCCAAGACCCACCTCCAAGACCCATAAATGATGTCTTAGAAATAATACAATGTATGTTCAAAATAATAACTTAGATACGTCACTTCATTATGAAGTTAGCTTATTAATTGTGCACCTACCATGCATTAGCATGATTAGAGGCCAAGGGAGTTTCTGCCTTCATGGAATTTACAATTTAGTGTAATAGCCAACCACTAAAATGAGCCAAAAGAGGCTAGGACATGATGGTGGTGATATCTAGGATCCACCCATAAGCAGAATGTTAGGTTTTCTTTATTTTATTTTTAATTGTGTGTATTGTAATATTTATGGGGGCAGATAACATAGAACATGTGTTCTTGGTATTGGAATATTTATTTATTTATTTACTTATTTACTTATTTTTATTGCCATGGGAGCACAGGAGGTACTCTGATAACTGATAACTGTATCTTGGTTGGCTGACAATAATGGGTTTGACTCACGCCCTCATGTGTCTGGAGGGGGAGATAAAAGTAGAGTGGGGCCCTGGCCTGTGTAGCTCAGTGGATTGAGTACCAGCCTGTGAACCAAAGGGTGGGCGGTTCGATTCCCAGTCAGGGCACATGCCTGGGTTTCGGGCCAGGTCCCCAGCAGGGGACATGTGAGAGGCAACCACACATTGATATTTCTCTCCCTCTCTCTCCTTCCCTTCCCCTCTCTCTAAATATAAATAAATAAACTCTTAAAAAATAGTAAAAGCTCTTACACTAAAATTTTTTTTAAAAAAGTAGAGTGGGGAAAGGAAGAGAGGGGAGAAGATCTCCTATCTTTCTTAAAGGGCAATAGTCGCATTGTGTGGGCTCCACTCTCATGAAGCAATCACCTCCCAGAGACGCCCACCTCCACATATTCTCACACTGGGGTTTGGGCTTTCAGTATGAACTTTGGAAGGGATACAAATATGCAATCCATAGCATTTTTCATGGTTCACCTTGAAAGCACTTCAACTCAGTGTCACCTGTTTCCCAGGTCATGGCGGGCTGTGGCATAGGAAGAGATCCTCAGGAAGAGAACCTCTCTGGAGGGTATGCCTGCCAGACACCAATGTGTGCTGGACACACACCTTCTCTGTCCCCACCTGCCACTGTTAAAACTCCTGCCTTTCAGACCCTTCCCATACAATTATTTTGAGGGGAGGGGGAGATGGCAAATGTCACAGGAACATCATTTTCTGTTGCCACATTTCTGCTGTTTGTGTTCCCAGTGTTCAGGCTCATTTCAGTGGCACCCTCCTTGCTCATGCCCCAGGTCTTGAGCACCGATGGGTGCTCAGTTGCCCAAACTCCTCCAACTGAGGGAGATGTGCCTTCGGTGTCCAGTGTGTCCTCACGCATGCCCCAGAAATAACCCGAGTAGAGAAAGTACCCTTCATAATATTACTGTCTCTACAAAGCTCCATGGGTACTATGCCCCCTTTTAAACAAAGCCACAGGCAGTGACCACCACATCTCAGATTTGTATTCTTCAGCCTTTTCCTTCAAAAGTAGGTGGGGAGGCCGGTAGGAATAAAGCCACTGGTAGCCTCTGCCCCCAAGACAGCATTGACACTTCCGATGACCGAAACTGTATACCTCAATTCATCTCGATTTCCCAGGAGGATCTTCTCTCTGCCACACATTGACCCCTGGCAGGCACACCCTCCAGAATTGCCCAGACCTGTCTGAGTTCCCTGGTGGACACAGCCCGGCTGCTGAGCTGGGATTTCCCCAAGTGGGTGGAGTTTCTTCTCTCTATGCAAATTATAAAGGTCAGGCTGTTGGCACAGGTAAGGTTAACATAGATCGTTTGTTTGAGATTCAGAATTACTCAATTAAAAATATGAAGTATAAAGTTTCCTGTATTTTTATTTTTAGTAAAAGTCAATTTAACTTGTATTCTCAGAACACTATTCTATCAGTTATTCCATTATTACATTGACAAATGAGGCTTTGTCAATGATGTACCCTTGATACAGGAAATCTGTAATGAATAAGTAGCAGTGGAGGAAGAATGAACATTGAGTGCACACTGTGTACTAAGCCCAGTGTTATGTAGATTGCATGGTAGAGCTCATCTGTTAACAAGAAAAGGGCTGTTGAATAAATTTTCTTAGCTCCATTTTTTGTATGAGAAAATTATAATTTAAAGAGGTTATATATGTTGCCCAAGGTCACAGAGGTAATAAGTGGAGAGTTGGGACTAGACCCCAGGCTATCTGACTATAGAACAATGGCTCTAGATGCAGTCATGCCTTATGTACACCTTTCTGATGTTGCCAAGTGTCTCTTGCTGAGCATGAAAACTGAGCAGAAAGACAATACAGTCTGTTTCTTACTTCATGATGGTAGCTGATCCTCAGTTTAATAAGGGGTAGGAGGATTTCTGTTCATTCAGCTTATTTCTTTGACTGTAATTTATGTCATTATATGATAAATTACATGTATATGTAACTTAGTAGTCAAAGGATAGTTGTCCAGACAAAATAATTTCAGCAGACTGTAGTGCTTCCCTGATTAACTTAAACCAGATTTTTTATTATAAGCCAAAAATTGCATTCTTATATTTGAACCAGATATCCTATTCATAGTCGTAGATTCACTGGGAAGATCAGAAGATCGTTTAAAAAAAATCTTAAGAATGATTCTATGCTTTAATTTCATCTGATAATAGATGTTGCACCAAGGCACTTATTTAGGCTGGTAGAAATTTGTTAAGAGTTATTGGTAGTTTAATTTGATTAGATACTTTCTGTAATGTGAAAAAATAATCAGTTTTTCTCTTACTCTGATGATCCAAAGAAAGAAATGGTTTAGTCTGAAGATCTCAGCAGATTTTATAAATTAATCTTTCATATTATTTTTATATACACTAATATCTCTTGGATGGTTTAAAGATTACCTTGTGCAAACTGAGAAACATTTGCCATTGAAACCAGCAATGTTTATTTTCCCAAAAAGCACATATTTTATATGGAGTTTCTAGGGGCACCAAGAAGAATATCTATGTATTACAATAGTATAAAGGAGGGAAGAGAAAGATAGTTGTAAAGACCTTAGCAATTCAAGTTCCAATAGAATGGAATTTGGATGCTCTAGATCAGCTGCAGCTGTAGCCAGGATGGTTATTATAAATGTCAAACGCAACTGTCACTTTGAGGAGGTTTTCTTTAATGAAACAGACCTAACAAGCAGTCCAATGACATTTTAATATATAAATATATGAAGCTGAGGTCTGTTTACATTAAATATATTACATATATTACATTACATATATTTTACATTAGAATGGGCATGTTCTCAGTTCCAGGAACTTGCTTTTGATTTCTGTTTTGGTTTTGATATATTAAAACCAAACACACAAAAATGTGACTACTCCCCCAACTTTGTTTCAGGCAACGAGGGCAGCCATCACTCAGCACTGCACAGACCTTGGAAATTTGTTGGGCAAGGAAAACGACATGGCCCTCATCATCGATGGCCACACCCTCAAGTATGCGCTGTCATTTGAAGTGAGAAGGAGCTTCCTAGACTTGGCGCTCTCATGCAAAGCGGTCATATGCTGCAGGTAGGCCTGCGCTAGCTGTGTGAGACTCATATTCTGACGTGTCTGTGTCCTGTGTTTATAGAAGAGATTGATGCATGGGAATTCTACAGGTACAAATGCATAAGGAAGGCAAAACAAAAATAAGAATTTAACTGTCTATTCACAGATTTTATGGAAGGCAGTTGGTGGTGTTTATGTTTCTGTTTTGTTTGTTGTCTTTTGAGAAGGTGAAAGAAGAACCAGAGCCTCAAGTCATAGACACACTGGGGGATAAACTGGGAAAACTGTCTCAAGCTGGTATGGGAAGGTAGAAGGGTCCTACAATCTGCTGGGTTCCTTGGTTCTGGATGGCTGCGCTCCACTTCCAAGTCCTGTGGGATTTTGGTGCTTTTCTTTCTGATGTACAGTGGGTATTTCTTTTTAGTCAACAAGAAGCATTGGTTGGGTCCCCACTATGGCAATTTTTGTGTTCCAATCCAACCAGAAGGTTTTGTTGGCTTTTCATGAAATCAGGAAGGTATTTAGGGTAGGTCCTGTCACATCCTATTGACTCCCAGCTGTATAAGGTACAGTTCTGGTAGATATCTGAAAGTCAGGCAGAATGATAAAGAAACTACTGGAGACCTGAATGGCACCACCCCAAAGTTTCAGTAAACAACTTGAAAGGTGAGAGGAAAGCTTTTGATTTCTGAAAGCACTGTGCTTAAACAGTACTTGGTATGGGGTTAAATGCTCTCTGAAAATTATTGGATTAATAATCTCATTTGTGCGTGCTCTTATATGTTATGTTTATATACTTTTTATACTCCATTAAACATTGTTTTCTATGATATTTTCTCAGAAGCTGGTTATCAGAATGCTTTTAACTTCCTTACTGCATTAACGCTTTAAGAACGCATTGTGTGGGTTTAGGCAAGGTCACTTCAGAACAACCAGTGGTCACACTGACAAGATGGCCTCGCTGTTTCTGCCTTAGAAGGCCCCAAAGGCATCACCTGCTGTGCCTCCTTTTTTCTCTGCCCATGCTTCTCATGACACTGCCTGTTTGGGATCCCAGCAGTCAGAGGGAAAGCCCACTGCTGGGTTCAGGAGTTGTCTCTGCTAGGTCTCCTCACTGACCCCCGCCCACCACTGGTTCCTATGTGAGACCAAAGAATCTGTTCTCATTTCCTCACAAATACTCCCTCCACCCAGAACCCTGAACTTTCTGTTCCCGTAATGATAGTTCTCTGTCAGTTTATTCTGCTGTCCTCGTCCCTTTTCTTAATTTGGAACATGCCCCCCAAAGGCCCAGGAGAGCTGGAGTGGTTGACTCTGGGAGCCTCCAGGGTAGAAAGGCATGTCGCTTTTGTGCCCGTGGCTGTAGGATGTGCAGGGGCGAGGAACAAATTCAGATGTTTTTGAGATAACGAACGAGAACTCTGTGTTCCCTTTAAGTCAGGAATGTGTGCAGCTATGAGGGACCCAGGACAGTAGGGACTGACCAGAGCATGTGGAAATGAAATGCCACACTCCTGGTTTTATGATGGCTTCCCTTCCTCTTTTTAAACAGCTCGTTGAGATACAATTCACATACTATACAATTTGCCCAAAGTGTATAGTTCAACAGCATTTAGTATATTCACAGAGTTTTGTAACCATCACTGCAACCAGTTTTGGAATATTTTAATCACCCCAAGAAAAACCCTCTTATCCATTATCAGTCAATCCTCATACTCCTCCACCCTCCAACCCTGGTGCCCCAACAACTAAACAACCACTAATCTGCTTTCTTATCTCTATAGATTTGCCTATTTATGACTTTGTATAAGTGCAACCACATAAGATGTGGTCTTTTCTGATTGATTTCTTTTAACTTTGTGTAATGTTTTCAAGGTTCATTCAGGTTGTGGGATGTGCCAGTACTTCATTCATTTTTATACTCAATAATACTCCATTGCATGGATATACCACATGTTATTTATCCATTTTGATTAACCCTTGGATTGTTTATACTTTTGACTATTATATGTTGCTATGAAGATTCATTAAAGGTTTTTGTGTGGACATATGTTTTCATTTCTCTTGGGTAGATGCCTTGGAGAGGAAGTGCTGGGTCAGGTTGTAACCTTCTGTTTAACCATTTGAGGAACTGTTATATTGGTTCCCAAAGTGGCCATACTTCTGTATGTGTTCCCACCATCTGTGTGTTCCAGTTTATCTCTATCCACGCTAACACTGGTTAAAATCCATCTCTTTAATTGACTAGCCCAGTGGGTGAGAAGTGGAAGTTCACTGTGGTTTTGATTTTTATTTCCCTGATGGTTAATGATGTTGAACATCTTTTCCTATGCTTATTAGCCATTTTCCTTCTCTGGAGAAATTCACAACCTTCATACATTTCAAAAATCAGTTTATTTTTTAATGATTGAGTTGTAAGAGTCCCTTATATAATGTGGATCCAAGTATCTAATCAGATAATACAATTTACAAATATTTTCTCCCATTCTGTAGGTTGTGTTTTTACTTTATTGATGGTAATATTTGAAGCAGAAAATACTTTAATTTTGAAATCCATTTGATCAGTTTGTCTTTTGTCCCTGTGTCATGTCTAACAAGCTCTCTTGTATGAGCAACTGACACCGTGCTTTCTTCCCATAATTCCTTCGGGGCAGGTTAGATCCAGGAACAAGCAAATGGCAGGAAGAGCAGAAAGAGTGGAGGGGAGGTACTTTTTCCTCATCATTTCCTCTTTGTGTGTACATTGTGAAGTTGCTGCATAGGTGGTACCTGACTTATGAGAAGTCCTCAGCACTCGAGGATGTCACTGTCCCACCCAGAGCTAGGAGTTGTGTCCCTCCCAGAACCAGGAGTCACTCTCCCTGCCAACCGCCACGTCGGTAAAGGGGCCTCACCCTGACTTGTCAGTGAGCAGAAACAAGCAGCAGCAGCAGCAGCAGCAGAAACAACAAGAAACAACACAGAAAAGTCTGGTAAACTGTAAATCAGAGCAAATGTGCTCTAACTTCAAGGTTTTTCAAAGGGAAATCAAAACGAGTCCGCCTGGACTCCCAGGGGAGAGGCAGGAATGCCTTCCAGGCTCTGCATTTGCTTTTCTTGCCAGGTGCTTGATACTAAAGAAAAACATCTTTCCCTTCTTCCTTTGGCTGCTCTGAGTGTTGTGTGTGTCACACAGAGCTGTACACTTAAAGCCTTCACAGGAAGGGCTTCCAACTGGAGTTGGCACAGAAAGAGGAAATTTCAAATTAAATACTGTTACTGTCTACAAAATAGAAGCACTAATTGAGAAAAGGAATCTAGGATGGCGCACTTTGCCGCTCCAGGAGCCATTTCTTGGCTGGTCTCACACTTAAGACTGAAAAAAAAATCAACACACACTTAAAAAAAAAAGCATGCGTACACTTCAGATGTGCTTACTATTCACTGAGAATTTAAATTTAAGTTAAAGTTAATATGTGACTTCAAACATAAAGCTGACCATAACTCTCACTTTTCATCTTTAAAATGTAATAGTTGTACAAGTTACTCTTCAATCATAAAAGAAATTATTTATTTCAGAAAATAATTTTTTAGTGAAATCATGACACATTGTCTCCAATCAGTATTGATTCAGAGACTGGTAAATGTGTAAGAATGGATAACTACTTTTAAATTAAAACAATACTTTAGGCAGCAAAAACAGGAAAAATGTAAGAATTTGTTAACTATTTTTCCTGAGATTAGAATGGTATAATTTTGCTAATTATACATTGTTATACCAAATATTTTCCATGTAGTTAAAATCCTAGAAGATCATAATGCGGTCAACAGAACAGTTACCAGCCAGCACTTGCCTGCACTTTATTGCTCTGTCCGGCAATGGCACTGACACAGTATTTGATGAGGTATAAATGGGTAGGTCCAATAAGATTTTTACTGTGGGCTTGATACTTGCCTTGTATGTTCCTTAGGCATCATGGGAGAATAGAGAGACAAGACATGGTCTTTGCATTTTAAGAGCAAATGACGAATAAGGGCATAGTACAGTACTTGCCTCTTCTCCACTTCCTTCCATCTCATGTAAGCCCCACTCCTAGAAGCAGGCCCTCAGTGAAGCTGGAGGACCCCAAGTCTCCAAGAGCTTCCATCCTACCATATGCAGCAGACTCCCAATTTCCTTCTTGATTCTGCCTCGGCATTGGTATCAGTGGCTCCTTTTTGGATTCTCCTCTATTCCTGCGACACCTCTCCCTAGTCGTGCGTCTCCCTCATGGGTTCTTTTTCTGGCAGCTTTTAAATGTTTTTTTTTAAGGTTTTGCCTTTGACCCTACAATATTCCCACTCCCTATCTTCTTCATAACACATTTCATTTATTCTCGTGACCTCGTCCATCTTTGACAATAGTGACTCTAAACACCAGATTCACACTGAATCATCTGGAGAACTTCATATGGTTTTTTACTCACAAAAAGTTAAATATAGAATTACCTTATGACCTAGACATTCCACTCATAGGTATATACTCAAGCGTTAAAGACAAGTAATCAAGTAAATATTTGTATGTGTGTGTTCATAGCAGCACAAACCACAATAGTCAAAAGGAGGAAACAGTCCAAATGCCCACTGGTAGATGAGTGGACAAACAAATGCGATATATTTATAAATAAGACCACATATAATATGATTATGTTCATATGAAATATGTAGAATAAGCAAATACATATAGATAGAAAGCAGATTAGTGGTTGCCAGGAGTTATGGGGAAAAGGAATGGGGAGCAACTGTTTATTTATTTTAATTTTAAAAAATACTTTGTTTTATTTATTTCTTTTTAGAGAGGGGAAGGGAGGGAGAAAGAGAAACATTGACTGGTTGTCTCTTGCACACTCCCAGCTGGGGACCTGGCCCACAACCCAGGTCCCCAGTAGGGGACATGCTAGAGGCAACCACACAGTGATGTTCCTTTCCCTCCCTTTCTCCCTCCCTTCCCCTCTCTAAAAATAAGTAAATAAAATATTTAAAAAGAACTATCTCTTTTCATG